TAAAAAAATTATAAAGATTGGTTAAAATTTGAATGATTTTTATTAGAAGCAATTATTAATTTTTATATTGAGGTACAGATCTTTTTGCACCGACCCATATTTATATCAAGCGATTTTATTGGTTCACCACTTAAAATTCAATGGCCAAGTCACGTGACCGAACTTTTCATGGTCGTCCTGGTAGAGTCCAACATATGAAAAATGCCTAGGAGTAACTAATTAAAAATGTCGGGATAGCAATTTTGCATATAGGTTTGTTCTCTAACCCTCACCATTATCCTTATCCTGATCTTATAAATCATTAAAATCATTAATAGGTGCGCTGAAAATTTAAGGAGATTGACTACGCTTTAACCATTCTCCATCTTCTAGTACTTATATTTAAAAATTCAGATGGATCGTAATACATCAATAATACTCTGTAAATGCTTGCATGAAGGCTCCATCAAGCAATGTTCGAAGGAAGATCCCGAACGCCATTTCATTTCTATCTATCCACTGCAATCCCACAATTTTGACACTTATGTACTTTAGACCCTCTAATTCTTTGAATATTACCTACACACCAACGACAATCTTGGACGTATAAGCTTCATTTTGAAATATGAACATCCAATTCTTCTGCTTTGGTGATTAGACGTTGGCAAAAGCGGTAATGCGTTGTTCGCTCAGTTTTTCGTGTGATTTCCGTGTCTTATGATTCACCATCAATAAGAGGAATACTGCAAAACCGAAAATAAGCTATCCCTTACTTTTCAGCCCAAAATCGGGTGCAAAAAGTACATTCTGACACAAGCTGCCCTTTTTTTCAAACCTAAATTTTACGGTAATAATAGTATCAAATTTACGAGTAAAATGCAACCGGTTTTTTTATGAATTTCAATTTGAAACGTAAAATTTTAGTAACATTTGAAAAATAGCATTATTAACTTTCTTTTTTCTTTCGCTTCTTAAGTTGATGCGGCCAATTGATTTTTTGAGATAAGATTGTCCATACATATTGCATAGGCAATAATTCGTCCAATATCATATTCACCAATTTTACTAATACCTTTAGTGATGAGTACCATGTAGAAGCCGTACGAATTCCAGGATTAATAGTAGAGCTCATCTGCTTGAGTTTGCGCTTCTTTTCAAAATGGAAAGGCCAGAAATTTTTTTATAAGAATTAATTAATTAATTGATTAAATTAAAATTGATTTCAAATCAAATAATCCTACCTTATAACGATGGGCTTTAAGTATATAAGTATAAGGCATACAAACGATTTCAGGTTTGTGCACGAATAGTAAGCATTTGACGTATATCTTTTCCGGGATCGAAATGAAAGAGTATGCGAATTTAATCTTTGTTGATTTGTACAGTCAGACCTTCCTAAGCGCAAGTTGTCTGGGAAACATAGAAAAAATCAGTTATAACATGCATTTAGAGAAAAATTGCATTTACAGAGGGTAAAATACTTAATGCTTCATAACTTGGGACTAAATAAAAGCGTGCATTTAGGGAGTTGCATTTCGAGAGATCTGGTTGTATTACGCTTATAATGACCTCGTCTCTTGTATAGTACCGTATATCTCCGAATACAAGCAACCCCCGAATATAAGCAACCCCCCATTTTAGAAATAAAAATAGATAAAACTATAGGTACCGAATATAAGCGACCCTCTTTATTTTCAATTATCTACATATACAATATATCATTCAATAAGAACACTAACAACTTCTTCACCATCAATTATTACATTATCATCAATATCCTCTTCACTTTCACTATCTTCATTCTCGTCTTCATCTTCATTAAAAGTATAAATTTCATCACAATAAATTTCGTCATCCTCTGATCCATCCATAAGAAAAGCACGCCGAATAATCTCAGAATTAATTTCTGCCCATGCAGCCAGCACCACTCACATACAGTATGCAATTCTGCGCGATTTAAGTTTCCTGACTTGATTTTTTTTAGCATTATTTCCTGCCATCCATGCATGCCAATGACGACAAAGTGCAACCTTGAAAGGACGATTAATGGAAACATCAAGAGGTTGACATACAGCAAGGTTGGTATTGTGTTTTTTAATTTCCTTCTTGACAGTGTCAATAAGGTGTCCTTTAAATGAGTCAAAAACAAGAAGAGCTGGTTCTTTTTGCTGGCCACCTGGTCAGTTTTTAGCATAACTTTCAATCCAAGCTAACATACCCGCTTCATCCATCCAGCCCTTATCACGAAAGAGAATGGTCACACCATGTGGTGGTGGTTTTTTCGTTGTAGGCCATCTTTTTCCCTTGAAAATGATCATGGGAGGAAGCTTTTGCCCATAAGCAAAACATGTCAAAACTACTGTAAACCGATTTTTTTCGTTACCAGTAGTGCGAACATGTACTGTCTTGGCACCAATACTTTCGAATGTGAGGTCACCGGCCATATCAAACCACACCGGCGTCTCACCCATTTTCGCAATGTGGCTTAGGGGAAATTTTTGCGGCGAACGAATTATAAAACGTTGGAAGTCAAATAGCTTTTGTTCAAGGTCAGCGGGCATTTTTTGCACGATTTCGTTTTCCGGCGCAAAGGCAAGATTATGGTGTTTTAAAAAACGTGACAACCATGTTGATGATGCTTTGAAGTTACATGCAATTTGTTTTTTATAGGGTCCTCGGTACTAGCAGTGGTTTCAGAAACAATTTTCGACATTTCAAGCTTGAGACTGCTGTATGTTACGGCAAGCGCTGCACGACGCATTTCAGTTACCCAGGCGTAAAGTCGTGCTTCCTCCTCAGGAAAAAATTCTTTTCTGCCACATCCGGATCGACACGACTTCTTGTTCCCGACCGCGTCCAGCTGGTTTACCCAACGACCAACCTGCGATTTGTTCAGGCCAAATTTCGCAGCAGCCTTGACATACTTGAGGCGGGAGCAAACCGAACGGCATCGATTTTTTCCTGAAGAGTCTATGACTGACGTTCCTGTTTCTACCTCTTGCCATAACACGTGGGGCCTTTTAGGCTAAAATGGATGAGTGACGGGACGTGTAAAATGACGCGCAATATTTTAGAGAGAACGGGTAGATCCGGTTTAACTTGTATAATAGCGTAGATTGCACCAATTTTTCGATATAATAGCTATGTAATTAGACACACAAATTGCTTTATACTCAAATATAAGCACCCCCCCCCCCCCCCTCTTTGCCCTGCCAAAATCTTGAATTTTTTGGTTGCTTATATTCGGAGATATACGGTAATTTTTTAATTGTAAAAAAATAGAATACAAACATATGAAGAGTTCATTATCATTATGGACCAAAAAGAAAAATTCATTTTTTTTAAACAATAAAATATCTTAAAAGCAGTGATCAAACAATAATATATGCGCGTAAACACAATCACTTTTGGTATGTGTTAAGGTCAGTTATCAGTAGTTTGTCTTGGAAGCCACTTGACACATCCTCTCCAGATCTGTTTTGTAACATCAAGAAAAGATACTGAATTAAGAAATCAATGAAAAAACTTAAATTAAACATTAATAGTTTTACCTTCGCATGGAACAAACAAAGGAACACTTGTAGAACCTAAATATTTAATAAAATATGAAATGTCAATTATGATTGATATTTAGAAATTACTGTACAATAGGAAAAAACTTCATAGTAAATTCGATCGTGTTAATTGAGATTTGAATGGATTTGTTCTTATTTAAAGGAATCAATTTTTTCCATTTCTGCTGCCCCGGTTTAACACACTCTTTGATTCCTTCATTTGTTTTAGGATATTCTAAAGAGTTGTAAAACTGAAAATGCAAAGTATTTGGTTTCACCAACCGTAGTCGTAGATAGATCTGATAAAGTCAAAAAGTTCCTCAGCAATTGGTCTGTTTTCTGGAATAGGTGCCAACATTTTTCAATAATAAATTTGTTCCTCAGCAATTGGTCTGTTTTCTGGAATAGGTGCCAACATTTTTCAATAATAAATTTGCACCAGCCGGGAATATTATTTGGTAAATGTCTAATGCCAGATCCGTATCATGATTTCGATCACCGAATGGTCCTTCAACAGTTACAACCTCGCACGTAGCCATCCCAAAGCTACAAATATCTGCAGCGTTAGTGTATGGCTTTTCATTTAGCATCTCTGGACTCATATAAAAAAGTACTCCATAACTTTTGTCTATATCTGCTTGAATGCTAGTCTAAAAGCAGCAATTTGAAGCATTAATAATATATCTCCAGGATGAAATTCACGATCTACAAATTTCTCTGAATTTTTTCAGAACAAAGATAATATTACTTAACAATTTTGAAATTTATATATTTATGGAGGCCATCACCTCTTGCATAAGTAATTTATTACTAGAGTATGTAACGAAAAAACTGGAATTCTTAATTTTCTCCATAAATATTTATTTAAATAACATAGAAATTTAAATATATATACTTGAGAGCATGATAAATAACTTAAGACTATTTTTAATATTTACGTATCTTATTAAAATTTTTTATAATTTATATTTTTAAAATTAATAATAAGAAAACTTAAAATTATTATGATTAATCAGAGTAAATGGACATTCACTGATATCTAATTAGTCTAATATAAAAATTAACAATTAATTATGTCTAAACTGGTAAAATGCCTCTAATTGTAAGGTAACTGACAATAATAATAAGGGAAATTATGTTATTCAAATGCATCGAATGCGTTGAAAGAAGATCGTTTAAAAGTACATATGAAAATGCACCATTTTTTCTCTTGCTCATTCGATTGTTTTAACTTTTTATAATAGGTTCAACAACAACAACAACACGAGTCTGGCCGACAGTTCATAAGCCCAACAATTGCATCGTACCTCATGCTTCTATTTTTATTTCGATAAGTGTTACAAGACACCTTAATTATCATTTTTATTATTAAGCTATTTCGGGAAGTTGGATTGTCGTTTGTTGGGATTTTAAACTGTTCGAAAGATGAATTGTCGGGAATTATGAACCATCGTGATGTTGTATTGTCGGAATATTAGTTTGTCGAGATTTATTTGTCGGGATGTAAGGAAGCAGTAAAGTAATACTATTTAGTGCCATTACTAAACAAGTAATATTGGTAAACTGGTTAAACTGTTAATACATGTATTACCATTTCATTATTACCTTATCAGATAGTAAGTGGTTGAGCTGGCTGGCTTAGCTGGCTAGAGGAGAATGAGTGGCTTTGATCACGAAAAAAGTGCTTTTACATGTACATGTATTATAATCTAATATAGACTACGCGGCAGATGTCACCATTTTAATTATTTATGATTTCATTTTCTATTATTTGTGTTACTCTAAAGTGTATTATACATATCGATATATACTGTACATTAATATTTGTGTCGTCAAATGGGACAATTATCTCAACGTTAATTTTTTTACACTTTAAAACTTAAAAAAAAAAACTAATAAATGTTTTTCATCGGAATATCCAAAGCAAAGTCTACTAAATTGATAATATCGCAATGTACAAAATAAAAATTTCATATCACAATATCAAAAGTTGGTGGTCGACCCCCTATCTCAGATAAAGTTCGATTAGAATTCCAATTTTCGAAGCTTTGAGTCTGAGAAGGTAAATTGTCTGTATTATCATCTTGTTCGTTTATACTCGATGGCATATTCCCAATTTCTGATGTTGATGGTCTTGACCGTGTCTCACGTGAATGTGAATTTGATGTTCTTGAATCAGGAATCGATAATACGGAGCGAATCCACTGTCGTTGTTGTGGTGTTAAATTTTCATCATTATTTATGTCCACATTAAAATTAATTTCGTCACCATCGTTAATATGATTATTATCGTCAGAAATTGTAATTGATCTAGATCGATCAAACGCTTCCACAACTAAACTGCTCGACTTCTCCGAAGCTGACCATTGTCTTGCCGGTGATCCAGCACCATTCACTACTATCTTAGGTTTAACATTGTTGTTATTGTTGTTAAAAGCATTAGAATAGGTTTGCGTGGTTTTTCCTTCATCTTTAGACACAGCAATTTCAATTTGTCGATTTCTAGTAATTTCAAATCTTGCTTCATCCGATCGTCTCTTACAACATCTCACAATAAAAAAAATAACCACTACACAAATCAATCCGGTAACTATACAAGAAATAAACACGATTAACCAGACGGGAATTTGACTTTCGGTTTCTTTCGTGTTTGAATTATTGCTGCTAGTTTGGGAGGGAATAGTGCTGTTTTGATCGCTGCTGCCTGTATTTGCGTCTGTGTCATCGTTTTCCGCATTAAGATCAAGTCCATTTATTAGTGGTAATGTGAAATTATTTATTGGAACATTTGTGACTATATTGTGTGCTGCGGTCCAATTCCTTGAGGTCATGTTAAATATTTGAATTGTGTTGATTGGAGTGGCACATTGTATGACTGTATCCAATAAAGGACACCCACCATATGTCTTTTATGCAGAAAAAAAATAAATATTTGGCATGTTCTGTTGTTATATACATGTGATCAACAAAACAAAACAAAAAAACTTACCAAAACAGCATCAGATCCAATAAACTGAGCAAATGAAGCGCCAGTACGCCCTTTCATCCCGCTAAACGTAATATTTGACTGAAACCCCATGGTTTGCATATCTAATGGAATAATAACCACCGGATTGTCCGCATTTCCACTATATGCAATCAAATACAACATGTTGTTTCGAATTCCTACTGCACCATCTCGTACACCGTAAGTTAGAAGTGCATTGTCGGGAGATATCCATTGATAACGTCGATTTGAAATGTATATTCGATTAGAGTAGAGATTATTAGTGGAGTCCGTGGCATTAAAGTATCCTCCTATCATCCATGCACTTCCTTTTACCGTTACCATTATTCGACTAATTGGTGCAACCAAATCTTCCTACAATTAAAATGACTATTTATTTCGTTATTCAAAAAACAGTACTCTTTTCGTTCATGGATATATCCACTCACATTTTTCGTCACTTGTGACCAAGTCCAGGGTGACGAAGTCATGTTTAAGAAATAAAAATATTGTGAAGGTGAATTTTTTCCGTTTTCATTTACTCCAGAATCCCCGGCGTAGACTACCACAAAATTTGGTGAAATCAAAGTCGCTTTCGGAGTAACCCCATAACCCGGATACGCGTTAAGCAGATTACGACTACTCCAATTAATCCATACACCTTTATTCAAATCAAAAACTTGAGTCGATATTTTATTTTCACTCGATTTCAACGTAAGAATGCCACCAAGTACCAATAAATAATCCGATGGAGTGACAACACACGCTGCCGAACCGACACTAGTCGCATTTTCCGTGCTTAGATATGTCCATGTTATTTTGTCGGTGTTTGTTATTGGGAGTGTGGTGTAATAGAAAAATGGACTTTGATTTTTGCCGTCCGAATCCGTGGAGTTATCCCATCCTCCAAATACATAAAAGTTATTTTTCCAAGTGAAGGAACAATGACCATATCGACCTGGTGGATTTGTTGAGGTTGAAGAAGATTGGGCGTTTACTACTATTAATAAACTTGTCCAAAAAGTGAGCAAGAATAAAATCAAAATTATTTTTCGGAACATTTTAGTATAAAAGATTTTGATTATTTATTAAGTTATTATATAATTAATAATAATAATCTATTTTCCGTCTCGGTGAATAATGTGCACGTATCATGACTTAAAATAAATCTGCACCTCCACCTCTTCAGACTTTATATCGTTTTAGATGTTGTGTTAATCTATGTCACTTTTTTGGGTTATTGTATGCTTTTCGGTCATGATGTTGTTGATACCACACACACACACACACGTACATTCATTCATACATACACATATACATGTAACTAATCTAATCGATATCATTTCAAGAAACCCCCTTAGAGTAAATAAGTATGTATAGGTGGTTTCGTGAGAAATACATTAATTTACCTTATAAATTAAGTATTAATGAAAAGAAAGATCTATAGAACTTGGTCAATCAATAGCGATAGTATTATCAGCATATGACACGCAGGGTTGAAACACTGTAACCAAATACATGTACATTGTATGCTAACATGTAGATCGCTGAACTGTTTATGCATCATTTATTTAGTTTTCTCCACCCCGAAAATAACATAATAGATTTCTACCGAGGATTTAGTGCCACTCGGGCATATTTTTAGCACAATATATTTGGCAATTGAAAACATTCATCATTTTTATTATTGTTTGTTCGTTGTTTGTTCGCAATATAAAAAGCCATACCGGTACGTTACCTGTCTCGTTCATTCAATTCAATGAAAAGATACTTTTAGTTTCTGTTCTAATTTATTTGTCTTCGCACGTTAAAGGTTCCCGATAGGCCTCAAATCTTTGATCCAACCCACCTTAACCGAAAAATATTCTGGAAAACTGACCTCGTATTTGATCAAGTTTGATAATTTACAAATGCTTTCAATTCGGGATTCTTCCCTTTGCGATAAAATATTAAATTTTTTTCTAGAACTGAAATAATATCCAAGATAGGATGATTTCTTTTACGTCTGCTTCAAATGATAAGTATCAGCAAAATGCATTGAATAAATTGTTTTCTTCTGACTTTCTACACAAAGAAAATGCTTATAAAATTTGATAATTCGGGAACTACGAATCTATCGGCGAGTCGTAAAAGAGGCCCGATAACCTCCAGTTGATAGAAACAAATTCAAAATTTTTACAGGGGGATTAGCTTGACAATAATTTCAGGCTCTTGGAATTTCGTATGATAATTCTCTTTCATCTTCAGTAAAAATACTTTTGGGCCAACCCATTTTTGTGAAGACGGAACAGTGTATGGCTTATATTCAAAATCGCTGTTCAAATTGCGGTATTTCTGTTTAATAAAGCAAAGTACGTATAGTTCAATCCGTCAATATGTTAGAACCTGATTTAACAAGCTTATAGAATTTAAAATGATTTATGCGCCGCCGTAACAAACTGCGACTTCTTGCGAAAATAAAGGGTTTATTTAATTGAATGATTATGTTTTGTTTAGATATAGTTAAGTGCATAAGATTTTTCTAATTGTAAAGCTCGTTTTTTTTATGTAACCAATAGCACGCGTTTTGACAACATTAATTTTATACGACTAAATATACTTTGAAATAATTATCAATATAGCTATCACAAAATAACTTGAAGTTATCTTCATGACCTTTGTTGAAGGCTACAATTCAATTTGCATCAGCAAATTTTCAAAGATTCGTAACTTTCATTTCACATGTTTGCACTTAAATCAAATGATTTATCAATTAGAATTAGTCATCTATTAAATTTTTAACCTATAATCCATTAAAATTGATTGCTTTTTTGACATTTTGAAGCTGCTCAATGAATTCTTTAAAAGTTATTATCGTTATGCATTTAATTGTTTTGTTTCCTTTTTTAGAACAATACTAAAGCTGATTAAACCAATCACTAAAAGGATGAATTTGAAAAATGAATATGTGTGGAAGACAATGTGCGTGTTAGTAGCAACGTGTTGACAACAACGTGTGTGTTGATTTCTGATCTGGGCTAACAATTATGCATAACGATAACGATAACACATGCCTTATTTACTAACATAACGATCAGCATTGATATGATATAGCATAATTTAGACTTCAATTATTACATGTAGATAGATGCGCCAATACTAAAAAAAAGAATCAACAGGGAATAGACTTTCATTTATAATAGAAAATGGAAAATAGAACCGAATACTAATATATTATTTAGATATAATACTTATATCTTATAACTTGTAAAAGAGATTTAGAGATATATAGAATTTTTAAATAAAAAAATAAATATTAATTTAATTAAATTAAATAAAAATTAAAAATAATATTTTATAAAGTTCTAAATTTTAATTTAATTCTTTAATTATTTATATAAAATTAAATTTATTAAATAATAATATTTTTTTAAAATTGTTAAATAAATATTTATTTTCAAAAAAATTTAATTAAAAATTTAAGATGAAATATTAATTTATTAACATAATGATAATTAAAAGTAATGTAATATTAATAAATTATGGGATTTTTTCTTTATATTAAATTTTTTAAATTTTATCAATAGTTCAGATTTTTTCTAGCTAAAGTATTCTAATTACATAGAAAGTTGATTAATTTTATTAATTAATAATTAGTAAAACTAATTGACTTGTATGTAATCAGAATATCATGCTTAAAAAAATATACAGTGGCAATCAAAAATAATGCAACGCTTAAATTTTTTACTAATTATAATTAGTAAAATACGTATTTTTCC